GACAGGAAGCCATCAAAATCCTCGAGGAGAAAGCAGGCAAAAACCTATATGATCTTGGCCACAGCAACTTCTTACTCAACAGGTTTCCAGATGCAAGGTAACCCAAAGCAAAAATGAACTATTGGGACCTCATCAAAATAAAAAGCTTCTGTACATTGAAGGAATCAGCAAAACTAAAAGGCAACCAACAGAATGGAAGAAGATATTTGCAAAAGACGTATCAGATAAAGGGTTAGTATCCAAAATCTATAAAGAACTTATCAAACTCAACACCCAAAAAATGGGCAAAAGACATGAATAGATACTTCTCCAAAGAAGACATTCAGATGGCCAACCGACACATGAAAAAATGCTCAACATCACTCAGCATCAGGGAAATACAAATCAAAACCACAACGAGATACCACCTCACCCCTGTCAGAATGGCTAACATTAACAACTCAGGCAACAACAGATGCTGGTGAGGATGAAGAGAAAGGATCTCTTGTGCACTGCTGATGAGAATGCAAACTGGTACAGTCACTGTGGAGAACAGTATGGAGGTTCCTCAAAAAATTAAAAATAGAACTACCCTATGACCCAGCCATTGCACTACTAGGTATTTATCCAAGAGATACAGGTATGCTGTTTTGAAGGGACACATGCACCCCAATGTTTATAGCATCACTATCAATAGCCAAGAAAGAGCCTAAATGTCCATCAATGGATGAATGGATAAAGAAAATGTGGTATATATACACGATGGAGTATTACTTGGCAATCAAAAAGAATGAAATCTTGCCATTTGCAACTACGTGGATGGAACTGGAGGGTATTATGCTAAGCAAAAATAGTCAGAGAAAGACAAATACCATATGACTTCACTCATATGAGGGTTTAAGATACAAAACAGATGAACATAAGGGAATGGAAGCAAAAATAATATAAAAATAGGGAGGGGGACAAAACAGAAGAGACTTACATATGGAGTACAAACAGAGGGTTACTGGAAGGGTTGTGCAAGGAGGGGATGGGCTAAATGGGTAAGGGGCATTAAGGAATCTACTCCTGAAATCATTGTTGCACTATATGATAAGTAATTTGAATGTAAATTTAAAAAATTATTAAAAAAAATAAAGTCACTGTTGCCAAAACATTCACTTAAATGCCTACAACTTCTAAGATTTTACTTACAGAAGATGTCATTCATTATAAAAATAAAGAAACCTGAATAAAGACATAAACTCAAAGAAGAACTTATTGATCCTCAAAATATGCTCTTAAGGTAAGCAATTTGCAATCTAGATAGGAAAAAATGCAGTTAGGCTGTTAAGCTTCATTTAATGTTAAACTTTACATTGAGCTCCAGAGAATGCCCCTGAGGTAGAATATTCTGCCAAACTAAAATATTGTAAAATAAAAAAAGAGCTCCTACATACTCAAAATGTTAGAGGAAATATTCAAAATGAATTTGAGAAGATAGATTATTGGGGGAAAACGAGAGACGGTGGGGGGGGGAGAGAGAAAGAAAGAGAGAGAGAGAGAGAGAAGCAAACCATACGCGTCTCAACTATAGAGAACAAAAAGGGTAGCTGGAGTGGTGCTGGGTGATGGGATGGGCTAAATGGGTGATGGGCATTAAGGAGGGCACTTGAGATGAGCACTGGGTGTTAATGTCAGAGATGAATCACTAAATTCTACACATGAAACCAATTTTACCACATATGCTAACTAACTAGAATTTAAATAAAAACTTGAAATAAAAATAAGAGAACAGGGATGCCCGGGTGGCTCAGTTGGTTAAGCGTCTGACTTCAGCTCAGGTCACAATCTCCCGGTTCGTGGGTTCGAGTCCCTCACTGGCCTCTCTACTGTCACCACAGAGCCCACTTCATATCCTCTGTCCCCCTCTGTCTGTCCCTCCCGTCCCTCTCTCAAAAATAAACATTTTTAAAAACAGAACAAAGAGATTATCATTCTTTTAACTTCTATCATTATTTCTTTTAAAAGTTCTAAGTAATTGAGTATTTTGGGGAAATATTCTTGTGCTACAGATAATCCACATATAAAAGCAACTTCAAGCAATTTGGATAAACAAAATCAGTTCTGAATTTTGAATATGATGACAATTATGCAATTATGAATATGATGACAAAATACTTTGCTAATTCATGGGGGGCATATAAGCAAGAATATGACAACAGAGTATGACAAAGCCACAGGCAGGTCACGGTATTAAATGTTAACCACACAGGGGCGCCTGGGTGGCTCAGTCGGTTAAGCGTCCGACTTCAGCTCGGGTCACGATCTCGCGGTACATGAGTTTGAGCCCCGCGTCAGGCTCTGGGCTGATGGCTCAGAGCCTGGAGCCTGCTTCTGATTCTGTGTCTCCCTCTCTCTCTGCCCCTCTCCCGTTCATGCTCTGTCTCTCTCTGTCTCAAAAATAAATAAATGTTAAAAAAAAATTAAAAAAAAAAATATATGTTAACCATACAGAGCACAGAGTTATTGGAACACGGCAAATTGTAATAATTCTCTTGGCCTTATTCAATTTCCATGGATGAGCATTTCTGTGAATCCTAACCTTTATTTAAATTTAAATAAGGAGTGAAGAAGCAAGCAAGCAATGTACACGTTAGTTTTCATTATTTCTTTTTTTTTTTTAATTTTTTTTTTTTTAACGTTTATTTACTTTTGACACAGAGAGAGACAGAGCATGAACGGGGGAGGGTCAGAGAGAGAGAGGGAGACACAGACTCTGAAACAGGCTCCAGGCTCTGAGCTGTCAGCAGAGAGCCCGACATGGGGCTCGAACTCACGAGCCGTGAGATCATGACCTGAGCTGAAGTCGGACGCTCAACCGACTGAGCCACCCAGGCACCCCAGTTTTCATTATTTCATTCTTTCTCTAGTTTTTGCACAGCAAGGGCCCTTCAGATGTCAAACTCAGGTCTATAGGAATTGGAAACTGCAATACACACAAGGTCAGACAAGAAATGTAAATAAAAATGGGCGGAAAACAGGATAAAAAAGACTATAGAGATATGGTAAATGTTAAATCCTAATACCACATTCAAAGAAAAGATCTTAAAAGCAGTCAGAAAGAAAATATACACTAACTATAATGAAACAACAGTCAGATTCACAGATTTCTTAAACAGCAATCAGGAGAGCCAGGAAATAGCAAAATAATATCTACAAACTTCTAAGAGAAAGTAAATATCTAGAATTGAAGATTCAGCTACACTACTTGACAAAAAGTAAGACTAAAGAAATTTTAAGAAACAAAACACAAACCTTTTAAGTTCATCCCAAACTGACACTCACTGAGGAAATTATTTAAATATGTATTTGACACATAGATCAATGGAAGAGAGTAAAGAACCCAGAAATGGACCCACAAATGTACGGTCAACTCATCTTCAGCAAAGCAAAAAAGAATATCCAATGGAAAAAAGTTCTTCAGCAAATGGTGTTGGGAAAACTGGACAGTGACATGCAGAAAAATAAACCTGAACCATTTTCTCACATTATACACAAAAATAAACTCAAAATGGATGAAAAACCTATGTGTAAGACAGAAAACCATCAAAATCCTACAGGAGAAAACAGACAACAACCTTTTGACCTTGGCCATAGCAACTTCTTACTTGACTCCAAAGGCAAGGGAAACAAAAGCAAAAATGAGCTATGGGGATCTTATCAAGATAAAAAACTTCTGCACAGTGAAGGAAACAATCAACAAAACTAAAAGGCAACTGATAGAATGAGAGAAGATACTTGCAAATGACATATCAGATAAAGGGTTAGTATCCAAAATCTATTAAAAAAATCAAACTCAACACCCACAAAACAAATAATCCAGTTAACCAAGAGGCAGAAGACATGAATAGACACTTCTCCAAAGAAGACATCCAGATGGGTAACAGACACATGAAAAGATGCTCGACATGACTCAGCATCAGGGAAATACAAATCAAAACCATAATGAGATACCACCTCACACCTGTCAGAATGGCTAACAACTCAGGCAACGACAGATGTTGGTGAGGATGTAGAGGAAGGGGAACACTTCTGCACTGTTGGTGGGAATGCAAACTGGCATAGCCACTGTAGAGAACAGTATGGAGGTTCCTCAAAAAATTAAAAATAGAGTTACTCTACAACCCAGCAATTGTACTACTAGCTATTTATCCAAAGGATACAAAAATGCTGATTCAAAGGGGCACGTGCACCCCAATGTTTATAGCAGCACTCTCAAATAGCCAAAGTATGGAGAGAGCCCAAATGTCCATTGACTGATGAATAAAGAAGATGTAAATAAAATCATACATACAATGGAACACTACTTGGCAATCAAGAAGAATGACACTTTCCAGTTGCAACAGAACTAGAATGTATTACGGTAAGTGAAAGAAGTAAGCCAGAGAAAGATAAATATCATATGATTTCACTCATATGTGGAATTTAAGAAACACAACAGATGAACATAGGGGAAGGGGAGAAAAAATAAAAACAGAGAGGGAGACAAGTCATAAGAGACTCTTAAATACAGAACAAACTGAGGGTTGCTGGAGGGAAGGGGGGGATGGGCTAAATGGGTGATGGTTATTAAGTAGGCATTTATTGGGATGAGTACTGGATGTTATATACGTAAGTGACGAATCACTAAATTTTACTACTGAAATTATTACATGTTAACTAACTTGGATTTAAACAAAATAAAACAAAAAAATACGTATCTGAAGAAGAAAGAAAATGAAATCAGAAATGAAGTCTAAGTTGCAAGAAAGAATTTGTCAACAAGCAAGGCAAAGATTAAATGTGAAAAAATCCAAAAATAGCACTAAGTGAAACAGTACTACCAACATCTAATTTGGAGGTTTCAAAAAAGCAAGAAATAAGACAACAGACAAGGGCATGTTGGTTGGGAGATGTTTAAAAAAATATTCAGTATTTTTAATAATTTTTCTAATTTTAAATTTCTTTATCAAAATAACAAAGTTTCTTTTATTGCTTACATTAAAATAGGAAATCAGATTTTCTGATGGTTGATCACTTGCTGAATTTAAGATCATCATTAACTGTTGAATAGTATTCATAACGGTCCTAGAGAAAAAAAATAGGAAGAAATATTAAGCAATGAAGGAAAGCAAATAAATAAAATGTATCTATTTATCTATTTCACAAGTTAAATCTTTAAACTCACTATTTCTTGTTTATATTTAAGAAGTTATCTGAAATAAGACTTTACAAAGCCCTTAGTGTACTGTTATTTACAAGGATTTACATTTACTTAAACCTTTAGGAAAGAACATGTTCATAATCACTAAGATCATATTTAAAAACACTGATATGTTTATTTACGAATAAAACTACATTTCACTACACAATTGGCAAAATTAATGATATTTTAGGAAAAGCACATATAAACTGCTATCAAAATGGTAATTTAAGAAAACATTACAATTAAAGTTTTTCAAATACAGTAGCATATACCCTAACTCAAATGAAGAAACACATGACTTTACAAAGATTTTCAAGATGAAACAAACATTTTAGAAGTCATCACTGTTAAAGCATAAAATTGGGTCAGTCCCTTAAGATTTCTTTAATGCTATAATTATGTGTGTGTGTTGTACAGTAAATACTAATGTTCCAATTTTGGAATGGTAGCACATTGCTACTATAGGTACTGTTTAATAGTGCAAAGAACTATAGAATGTTTATGGCTGAAAGGTTCCTTAAATATTGTTCAGTGAACATGTTCAGTGAGAATTTTCTTCCTCTTTTTTGTAACCTCAGTAAGAATTACTCAGTTTGGAAAAAGAACTTGTCTTTACATCTTCTAAAGTCTTTTGGTGAAAGTTTCCTTTTAGGAAAAAACATGTCAAACATCCCTGGTTTTTCTTTGAATCATCTTTGTTATTATACCAAACTATTTTTTTTATAAATACTTAACATTTTTATTTTATTTTGCTTTATTTTTATTTTTTAATGTTTGTTTATTTTTGAGAGGGAGAGAGAATGAGCATGCATGATTGGGGGAGGGGCAGATAGAGTAGGAGGCAGAGAATCTAAAGCAGGCTCCATTCTGTCAGCACAAAGCCCTACATGGGGTTCAGACTCCTGAACTGTGAGATCATGACCTCACCCGAAGTCGGACACTTAACCAACTGAGCCACCCAGTTGCCTCTACACCGAACCATTATATCTCTCTCAACTGATATTTGTACATTCTCACCTCTCAAACATTATTGCTTTTATAACTTGTACATCCTCTAATCTACTTAAGCCACGTTGACTAAAGCCACAAATAACTAATTGCTAAAACTAAAAGATCCTTCTCACTTGTTCTGATACCTGATTTCCTTCAAACATGTGACACTCAAACACCTGCTCTTTCCTAAAATTCCCTCCCTCCCTTGGCTTTTTTGGCTTCATCCTCTGAGGCCCCTTCTCATTCTCTTTAACTTCTATCTAGTCCTTAAATGCTAGCATTCTTTAGGGTTCAGCCCTTAGCCATTCTTGCTATTGCATACCTTTACTTCAGGCAACCTCATCTTTCTTTATGGTTTTAACTTTCCCTGATGATTCTCAAATCTGTAAGAGCTTATATCCTTCTACTTACTACTTCTTCATATCCCATAAATGCTCATGAATAATATTCTGAATATTATTCATCAAATATTCATCAAATATTTATCAAACCTGTTCTTGTTCCTTTATTTCGACTGCCTACTCTTGGCTTGGGTATTCAGCATTTCTCAATTGAATTACTGCAATAGAGCAGTTCAGGGATTTTGACTATGTGTATGGTAATCAGGTCTATGCACGTGTAGTTTAGAAAAATACCTCCTCAGGTTATTCTAATTTGCACCCTTGGTTAAGAACCACTGTGACACACTGAGAGGTCAATTTCTCACTATGTCCTCCTTAGTCCATCCCCTTGCAAACTACTACCATGTAATTCAGAAGCAAAAAAAGAAGGACAAGTTTCAAGAAGAGGGAAAAGCAAGTGTGAAGGTCTTCAAGTATAAAGGAAGAGCTTTAAGCATTCAGGAAACTGGCTAGTTCATCATGAGCAGGCAAACAAGATGAGGTGAGAGAGGCAACAGAAGCTGGATCTTATAGGCACTGTGAAGGAATGTGCATTTCAACTGCAACAGGAAGCAATCAAAGGTTTAATATGGTGAACATGATCTGACTCACATTTCTAGATTACTATTCTGGGGCTCTCTGGAGAATATATTTGGTGGTGGGGAGAGAGGAAAAGTGAGGAGAGTAGACACAGCAAGATCAATTAGGAGGCTACTGCAAAAAAATCCAAAACAAAGAGAAAGAGATCTTGGACAAGGGTGGTGAGACTGCAAATGGAGAACAGGAGATGGACTCGAGGTATTTAAAAGGTAGATTCAACAAGACTTGGTAACAGATTAGATGTAGAAAGTGAGGAAAAGGACAGAAAAATGCTTCTAATCCAAGTTTATGCAGAGCAAAGGATAATACATCTTTTTCTTCCTCATTTACTGAGATGGAAAACATTCCCACTCTAGCTTATATTCTTTAAGGACAGACAGAACTATGTCTAATAATCATATCCTCAGCAACTAGTGAAATACCTGGCATGCAAAGACCACTCAATATGTTTGTTGTGTGTATATACAAATATACAATAGAATGAACAAACCCAAAGGACTATAAGGCACAGAATAATAACAGTGAAAATCAAAAGAAAATTCATACCTAACTGGAGTCTGCGGAAGCATCGTATTCACCTCTTCATCAGAGTTACTTTTTCGTGGTGTTCTCTGCATTTCAAAACTAAGTAATGATAAACAAAGTCATTAATATATAGTTTGTGCTTTATGAATCAAAAGAGCAGTATATTACCATCATACAAAATGGTAAGTCAATAACAAGTGATAGGAAACAGATGATTCAAAAGCTGTTTAAGTAAATCAAATTTTATTTTTTTCACCATTGTTTTTAAGTTGGGTTTTTCTTCCACTAGGTTTATGAAAAACAGGTGCACCAATTCATTAACAATTTTTTAAAAGTGAAAGTTAGATGCTATCTCTAAATGCTAGATGGTATTACTAACCAAGCTGTTCAATATTAAAAAATATCAAAGCTTAAGTTTCTTAACCATTACGCCTTCCAAAGACCTTACTTTGACTTAAACTTGAAACATTCTGTATTTAACCTATAAATTATATAGATTTTCAGTTACATATTCAAAAACTTCATGCTAATGACATAAACATAATAAATTTTTTGTAATTACTCTCAATCATTCCTATTTTAGGATTATACATGACAATTCAAGAGAATATACTTTTGTATTAACATTTAAAAAAAAGAACCAAGCAATAATAGTAGATGAAAGGGTGGGAAAGAGAGACCACTACTTAAGTAAACTAATTACTTCAACAATTTTCTTTTCATGCACATTTTAAAAATTATATTCAATAAAAAATAGTTGTTATAGAGAATAATTCACATTAAATCTCTATTTGTTAATATATGCTTATCAGCTTTATAGAAAGGCATTTGAAGTAACTTACTATAAATGATATTTAAAGATCACAAAGTTGAACAAAAACCTATTTAACCTACGTGTATCAATATCAACCTATAATGTTATAGCAAAAGCATCTCAACAAACAGACCATGTACAATACCTGTCTATAGGATCAGCCTGAAGAGTTTTATCATGATCCAGAAATAATCTTGCATCAAGATCTTTGTTTTTAAGGTAAATTTCTTCATATTGTTTAGAGAGACTTTCCACCTCAAAAGAAAAAAAATACTGGTGATTATCCTTTTCATATCATTTCATCTCTTAGTCCACAGAAGTACAGATTTAATTAAAGAATCTTTGTACAGCATACAATTTTATAATATAGACAGAGTTCACATGCAGTAATAATAGAGCATATCTAAAAGTGACATTAAAAAATTGCTATCTTTTTAACTCTAATCTTAAACGGATTTTATGTATGCACCCCATTCATTAGAGTTTTTTGTAGACAATGATCACCAATAACACAAAATAGTACTGAGACAGATCTGTAAGACAAAAATAAGTATTATTTTAATCAACTTAATTGCCAAGATGCTCCAAATAGCCCATACATCCCTCACTTTTAATCTTCCACTATGATTATGAATATAAGAATATTTTTCAGGGTGCCTGGGTGGCTCAGTTGGTTACGCATCCGACTTTGTCTCAGGTCATGATCTCACGTTTGGGGAGTTCAAGTCCTGCAACAGGCTCTGTGCTGACAGCTGAGTCTGGAGCCTGCTTCCAATTCTGTGTCTCCCTGTCTCTCTGTCCCTCCCCTGCTCATATTCATTCTGTCTCTCTCTCTAAATAAATAAACATTAAAAAAAGAATATTTTTCAAACATTATAACAAACTCCTGATTATACATTCTGCCTATCTTTTCTAAATTCTTTGGTGGCATTCCAACTCCCCGCCCAATTAACATATCACAATGTATTCCTAATCTCAGATACCTTTTCATTTCATTTGTTAGAATCTCTAATTCTTTTGTAAGTTCTGATTCATTATTTTCTAAACATAATTAAAAACCAATGCCCAGTAAATAACTATTTGGCATGACTTCTGCTATGACTTTTAAAGTCAAAATATTTCTAACCTGAGAGAACTAAAATTGCATTTTAAAAGGAGTGGTAGGAAGAAATCCAGCTAGTGTAAATTTTTTTCTATGTAAGTTTTTTAGGTAGAACAGTTATTCATGTTAATTAAGTTCAATCACTGTGCCCTATCTTAGTGAGGTGCTAATTATCAATCATTTATTGACTGGCAGCTATTACTGCTATTTGAAAGATGCTGGGGGGCGCCTGGGTGGATCAGTGGGTTGAACATCTGACTTCGGCTCCGGTCATGATCTTGTGGTTTACGAGTTCAAGTCCCGCGTGGGGCTCTGTGCTGACATCTCAAAGCCTGGAGCCAGCTTTGGATTCTGTGTCTCCCTGTCTCTGCCCCTCCCCCACTCATTCTTGGTCTCAAAAATAAATAAACATTAAAAAACCATTTAAGAAAGATGCTGGGGCGGGGGTGTGGGTAGCTCAGTCGGTTAAGCATCCGACTCTTGATTTCCGCTTGAGTCATGATTTCATGGTTCGTGGGTTCGAGCCCCATGTCAGGCTCTGCACTGGCAGTGTGGAGCCTTCTTGGGATTCTGGCTCCTTCTTTCTCTGCCCCTCCCCCAATCACACACTCGTTGTCTCTCTCTCTCTCAAAATAAATAAATAAACAAACATTTTTAAAAAATGCTGGCGTAAAGTTTATTTTAGGATTTCTACTAAAACTGTAATCCTTTCTAATGAAGGAAGAAAAATTACTTTGAGTGTCCAAAATTCTTTAGAGCTGTGAACAGGTTATTTTTTGGCACATCAGTTGATAAGAAAGTTCAGTAATACATTTGACCCCATTTCTTGCTTCTCTAGTGTCTTTTGCACTGCATCCCAATCTTAACAAATTAGCTGGAGTTCACTGAACAGACCAAACTATCATAAATCATTGTCCCTTTGAATCTATAATTTCTAACACTGAAAATATCTTTTTTTCTCATAAAGCTTATTCACTTCAGAAATCACATCTCCAAACAATTTTCCACAAAACCCATCTGCCCCACTTTGGATTAGGTGGGTATCACAGCACCATGTGCAGACTTGTATCAGACTCTTGCAGACTCCTCTAATGTTCTATTTCTTTGTCTTTTTCGTACTATGACCTTGTTGACTGTGAGTTAAATCTCTAATGAATAATATCTAGCACAATGCCTGGCACACATTAAGCACTCAATAAATGATTGTTGGATGAGTAAGTTTATTAATTCAAGGACTAGCTACCAATTTGGGGAGTAGAATCAGCAGACTAGCTATCTGATTCCATGTCTTTTGGTCTTGATAACTAATACCAGGTGCTTCTAAAACATTGCTTTAGCACTGAGTACTTGTTCTTCATCATTTATCTAAGCATTCTTTTCTCCACATCTTACCACGTAAAGTTCTAGGTTGTTCTGTTCTCATTGGAGAGCAAGATATTTGAGGCAAAATATGAAAAGAAACAAAGATGGATGGCACACCAGTAAGGTAAAACATTTCTGCAATATAATCACAGCCATTTCAACCAAATTTCTTTTCAATTAAGTAGTTTAAAGTATTCCAAAGAGATGCTCCATAATATCGTAATGCCAATAATGTTGATAGCCTCAATCCGTGGATCCTATGCTCAAGGATGTAGAGCAAATCAGAATCAAAATTTGATTGTGCATATTTAATTATACTGTACTTAAATATAATGGCCTTCAGAAATCCAAAAGCCCACACTTTGATTTTTTAAAATTTCAGTATAAATCAATTTCTAGTGAAAATTATAAATGCTGCTTATTTATACATCTGAATATATACTCAAAAGGTTTTTCTGTTACTTATATAAAGTTGGCTTAGCACAATTCTACTTAGATTTCTTTCCTTGGGCAAAAAATATTTAATATACAGCAAAGCAACTTTAAGAAATTAGACAGCTATTCCTTCCTCCCAAAAGTCCCAAAACACATTAACTTTTTATTAATTTTTCCTTCCTACCTCTGGAAGTCCATTAGAAGCTACAATTCCAAGAGAATTCATAAAAGGTATGAAATTTTTGAAATAAACATTTTTCACCTGAAAAAGATAAAGTTACAACACAGCCATTAAAAGAAAAACCTTAATGTCTGTCGCTTTTAACACTAGAATGAAAGTGCTAAATGACATTTTAATCAATGACTTACATTCAACCTAATGTGATACTTATTTATCATTAATTCAATTATTTACTTTTTTATTTACGTGAGGCAGATTTCAAGTCCTAGAATGGAAGTGGAGTAGAGGACTGTTAATGAAATGCGATTTATAAGAAGAAAACCCATTGAAACCAATCTCAGTATTCTGCATTTAACAAATGATGAAAAGATGGCTCAAAAAAATTAGGCAACTTGACCAAAGTTACACAGCTAGGAAGTGGCAGAGCTGGAATTAAAACCCAATGTATCATCAAAGCCAAGACTCTTTACTTCTCCCTACTATCTCTGATTTCTCCCTGAAGCATATTTTTAGGCCACTTCATATTTATCATGATAGCTAGCTTAGGGAACAGTCAAGTATTTTTGCAGAAATTTAGGAAAATAACCTGTTTTTACAAGAAAATAATTTCACACACATAAAGGATACCTCATAATTCAATTCAAAATCACATAAAAATATTTTGTAGAATGATGCATTTTCATACAAAAGCATCCTACATTTATTTAACATAGATAATAAATACATTTATTTAACATAGATAATATAGATAACATAGATAATAATTTAACATAGATAATAGGAAACCTGGAGTCATATTCCAGGCTGTTGTGCACTTGCAGTGTGCTACAAAATTTTAAACAACTTACTTATTTTCATTTAACTTCTCAAAATCTGAAGTCTACATATATTAAGGTAGAAATAATATCAGTTCATATCTTCTACTTCACATATAAGTTATAAAAATTGGCTTTTGTAATACTTTTTGTTTTTTAATTAACTCCCACTTAACTGGAGTATTTATAAGGTAGGTAGTTTTAACTAACCAATTAGTATTAACTAACCAATAATTATATAGCCATAAATGTAACTAATCAATAATAACCAAAAACATTATATGTAAATACCCACTGTCAATTGACTGTCAATGACTACCATAGTTTTTAATCAGCTACACTTTAAAAATCATTCCCATATTCTAAGTTACAGAAGTTATTTAAAATGAAAAAATTTTAATCATTTATTCCTGATTTTAGAAATAAAATTTTATAAGTAGTTCTGAAATCCATAGAATTAACAACCAGGAATTAGCAAACTGTATTTATGTCTGTTCATTACCTTAAGGGACTTAGCAATAGACTGGGTTAAAAAATATTTCAACTACATTTGTCAGCTTATTAACAAAGATTATTTGTGATTCTAGAAAGTAAAACACACACACACACACACACACACACACACACACACACACGTGTATAAAGTTGATACATCTGTATCCACAGGTATACATCTGCATCTTTGCTAAAACTGACAAAAGCCACAGTACTAGAATTTAGGTATCTTGGTAAATCATTCCAACACTTCTTAAACTAAATTTTGAGATCATACTCCATTCCTTCCCAGTTGACAGAGAAATTTCAAAGATGCAACATTTCATACAGCTATCTGGCAGTAGTGAACTGTGGACAATATAACAATTTATGAGAGAAACAGCATTGTACACTAAAAGGAGAAACTGGTAGCAGATTTACCAAAGTCTAGACTCTGTTAGTAATTAGCTATCAATCTCTAGAAGCTCATTCACTCATTACTAAAAGGAGGTTGAGTACATTGTTTCTAACATTCCTTCCAATTCCAACACCCCAGATTCTGTGAACAACATAAGCAATTCCAGGATGTTCAAGTATATTCTCTACCATCCATTAGTATCTGGTGTAATATTTGGAAAGAGTGTATAGGCTGAACAGCAATTTAATGTTGATATTACTTAACACCAGGATTTTCTTGCAGGGTATTTTAAAACTTAGGAATTATCAGTAGCCACAGAAGAATCAAAGAACAAATTCATTTGAAAACTACTGCCTTAATGATGCACCTTTCAGTGATTCCTGAATAAGGGAGGCACTCTCTTTAAAATCAAAGTAACTTAATATGAAAAGTAATTTTTTTCTAAATATTTTGCTGCAAAAGAATTAGCACTAATTACAAAAGCAACTTGTCACGAAAGAAGTATATACTGTTAGGAAGAACTTATATCTAAATCTACTTCATTTTAAAGAAATCATGAAGTTAAATTACCTCATCTATATTACATTCATGTTCTTTACAGAGAACTTCAATAATTCTTGTATCATTTTCTAGTTGTTTTGCTATCCGTGCACTCCTGTTCTGACCTCGCCTTGGTGTTCGAGGTGAACCATTAAAAGGTATTACAGCTGTTTCTGTAAAAATGGTAAATTAGATAAGAACAATTGCACATTCCACTGTATAAAATAATGAAGTATTCTAACTCGGGGGATCAGAAATAATCTTGGTAACATTCTGCTACTTTTATTTATTAGGCTTCATTAAAAGGCTAATAGTCTCATCTATCTATTGAATATTTGTTTTATTTACTGATAATAGCTTTTGCCATCCCTATTCTCTTCTGCCCCCAACCAGCCCAAAAAGAAACAATTATAAACAAGATGTAAAGCCCTACAGGCAAATATGGAGAAGGCAAGGGAAATAGCCAACTTATAAACTTACTCTAAAATGTATCCTACTCAGTCTGTAAGGGAAAAAAATGTTTCCTATCTTGGAGAGTCTTAAAAAAAGTATTTATGGATTTAATTGCTAGACATAGTATAAAAATAAATAAAATTTTAAAGTTTGAGCAAAACCCACAATAAATTATGCTTTAAAAATATATATATTAATATGTAAATATTAATATATATGTATTATATTCATATATATGTATTATAATATGATAAAGGGTGATTTTTTAAAAATCTTCTGTATTGTTTTCAGTATTCCCCATTTAAACTGAAAATGGATTCAACTATTAAAAGAGATTACAAATGACTAAATATAAAATGTATTAACTGCCTCCGGGCCTAACCACCAACTTACAGGAAATTGAGAGAATACAGGAACATGTTAAACTATACAACAAAATGCAGTCAGAAAAAATTAAACCATGTGAAGCTGCACAGAATAAACCACCTAATTACTTAATAAATCAGTTATAAGAAAAAAAAAAAAGAGACAGAAAAGGAAGTTTTTTTGTCTCAAAAGCTATCAACCAGTCATAAGGTATAGATCTTATTTAGATTCTGATTTAGTCAACCTGTAAAAAAAAAAAAAAGTTTAAAATCACTTTTAAAAGGCAAGTGAAAATCTGAACACTTACTAGATATTTGGTGGTATTAGGTTAGAAATCACTATTGATTTTCAGGTGTGCTAATAGTCACTATGCTTTTTAAAAAGACTACCTTTTAGAGATACATACTAAAATTTGTAAGAATGAAATGGTATACAAAGATGTGCTTCAAAATAATATAGCTGATGCAACTAGGCAGCAGATGGGGCTCCTGGTTGACCATAAGTTATATGTTGAAGGCACATGATAAAGTACATGACGCTTATTATACTACTGTCTACTTTTGTATATTCATCTGGAATTTTCATAATAAAAAGGTAATTAAAAGTTTGCCACACTCAATTTAACACCTCATCAAACATGTGTTTGAATAATCCAAAAGAACAAAGCCTGTCAACCTAAAGTAACATCCTACATGAACTTCCTAAACTTGTAAAAATTGAAAAAAGTGAAGAAAAAACAAATCATTACAGAATCAGAAATTTTTAAAATATATTGTTTTGTATTTTTTTCTCCCATTTTGGTTTCTGCTACTGATCTTTTTCTGTCAAACCACGTTCAACACATTTTTCCATGAAATTATCGTTCAGGAAGATTAATTAGGCTTCAGTTTTTCAGCCACTTTCAACACCACTTTTGACTTCCATGTTTTTTTATCTGTCCTCTATTACTTTTAGTATTATTAATACTTTCATCATGTTAGGAGCAAGGAAGCAGTTCGGCCTAGTTAAGTTTACATTTTTCTGTGGTATATAAGTGTATAAGTGTGGTATAAGTGATTTTGAAATTCTACTCTTGATGCCACCAAAAGAAGCAATTCCATTCTAAGAGGAATATACTCATCTTTGCTTAATACTCTCTATTTCAACAACAGTTATTTTCTTTTTATTATTTTTTTTAGCAACAGTTACTTTCATTTAAAAACACTTCTCACCTCATCACCCACTGAAGTAGATGACAATTATATGCAAAAAACGTTAGTCACATAATAATTAGCATCCAATAATACAATTTAGGTAATCTCCTCCTGCAGAATGGGCTATTCTTTCTCATGAAGTTTCACCCATATCTGTGCCTTACCTCTTATTTTCTCTTTACTAGGAATATTCTACCCCAACTTTGCCTAACCCTCAAATGCGATCTACTCTTCAACATTCAGTTCATATCCACCTCTTTTATATGGTCTTCCTTGGTCTTCCCCTGCTTTCTCGTCGCTTGAACTCTCATAGCATTTACTATATTTTGACCCAGATCACTTAGAAAGTGATAATATACTGATTACTTACTTACTTGTCTTATCTCTACTTCTATACCTTATACTACTTGAGGGCAGAGTCCAGGTCTGATTTCTTTTTTATCATCCCTTCAGCTCTAGAACTATGTTTTGGACCTAGTCGATATTAAATAAACAACTGTTGAGTAATGATGTAGAAGGTGCATAAATTATTTAAAATACTTACTATATGGTTCTTTAAGCAACGCAGGAGGTGAGAGTTTAATAAAATAATCAAGGACACAGAGCATTAACTGAAATGAGATGACGAGATCATCTTCCATTTGTAACACTTCCCCTGAAAATAAAGTAGGTTCACATTGTGAAGTAACAGACTAGAAACGGAGATTGAGATCTTTCAATCAGGGAAAATTGTAGGTATGGGCATATGCTTATACTCATTTATTTAAGAGTCACTAAAGGCATATTAAAGCTTAAAATTTTTTGTTTCACAAAAACTCAAGATTTGAAATATATAAAATATAAATGAAATATATAAAAGGTTATGAAATTATAAATGAAGTATAAATCTACCATGAGAATTTGACATTTAGCTATTATTATTATAATTCATTCCCTATGTCTAAATTCATTTTGTTTCTGGAGCATCTGGGTGGCTCAGTTGGTTGAGCATCCAACTTTGGCTCAGGTCATGATCTCACAGTTCGTGAATTCAAGTCCCATGTCAGGCTCTGAGCTGACAGCTCAGAGCTGGAGCCTCCTTTGGATTCTGTGTGTGTCTCTCTCTCTCTCTCTCTCTCTCTCTCTCTCTGCCCCTCCCCCACTCATGCTCGCTCTCTCTCCCTCTCAAAAATAAGTAAACATTAAATAAGTAAGTAAATACATAAAATGGTCAAGTGAAGTCAGATCAAATCCTCCTCCAATACCCAATAAAATAAAAAGAAAACATGTACTGGCTAAGTGTCAGTACCAACACCAAATTTAAGAGATACTGACTCAGAGTATCCTCATCTTTTCCTCCTCTTACGTGGAGGGCACAGAAATTGCTGATGAGAGAAGGGTAAAAGAGAGGAAGTAAATGGTAGCTAACTTTCTGATAAACACAGAGACTCCAGTATATTGTGCTGAACTGGGGGCCAATCTGAATCCCAACACAATCCTGTTATGGAAACAGGATGTAATTATCACTATAAATGTTCTATTGTAGAGTTCATTCTAACAAGAATCTCAGAACAACAAAGACTCATACCATTCTAGATAAATTCTCCACTTTCTCCCTCACCCCGACTAAAAATAAATATAATAAAAAGGCTGTACTCATATTGTAGCTCTTTGGGGAATACAACGAGCCAAAGATAAAATGCAAAGTGAGTGAAAAGAGATTTATTCACACTACATCAGAGAAAACAGAACATCAAACACCAACCACAACAGAGAAACTAGAACATCAGGTCAGGGTTGCCTACAAAAAGTCCTAGTAACATGAGGTGGGGGAGAGCATGAGAAACACAGCAATTATGCAAACACAGTACAGAAAATAAAACAAGAAAAGAAATAAAAGAATCACAATGTAAGAAGGGGAAAAAAATCAGAGAACCCAATCTGGAAGATAATATACGAGAAGAAAATGCCCTATGACTCCTTGCACTAAGAAATAAAAAGCACAAGTTATATAAAAATAAGGAGCTAGAAAAGCTAAGGAAAAACTGAGGACCAAATAACACCATTACAAACACAGTTTAGCTCAAAACAGAAGAAAGGCTCGAGACAAAAAACAGTTAATACATAAGAAAAAGACCAAAGATCAGAATAATATGAGAAAAGATACTAAATATGGAGGACAAAAACAATCCAACATAAGACAGCTAAGTTCCTGAAACAGAATAGAATAGCACCTAACTGAATAGAATAATATTTAAAAATGTAGTGCATGAAGGGTTCCTGGGTGGCTCAGTTGGTGATCTCCTGGTTCATGGGTTCAAGCCCCATGTTGGACTCCGCACTGGCAGTGCTGACCCTGCTTGGGATTCTCTCTCTGCCCCTCCCCCACTTGTGCTTTCTCTCTCTCTCTCAAAATAAATAAACTTGAAAAAATGTAGTATGTTAAGATTTCTTTGAAATAAAGTGCAGACCTTCAGTTTAAAAAGAGATATAGTGTTACAAAAAAAACTAATACAGAATAATAAAAAACAAAAGAGATATTCTAGTTAAGATAATGAACCTCAAACTTAAAAAAAAATCAAGTATTTAGACAGTAAATAAGTGGGGGCGCCTGGGTGGCTCAGTCAGTTAAGCATCTGACTTCAGCTCAGGTCATGATCTCACAGTCCGTGAATTCAAGTTGCATCAGGCCCTGTGCCAACAGCTCAGAGCCTGGAGCCTGCTTCGGATTCTGTGTCTCCCTTTCTCTCTGCCTCTCCCCCACTCGCACTATCTCTCAAGAAAAAAAAAAAGTAAATAAGGGGCGGAAATTAAGCTAGTCTCCAATTTTTTAATAGCAATGTTTAATGCCATAAAACAGTGTCCTGAGGAAAACAAGTATGACACAAAAATAGGATAGACAGCCAAGTGGTCCTTCAAGTATAAAGCCTATGGACATGACTCATAAACAACACAGAGAATATGGTGCCAAAAAGCCTTTTTTGAAAAACTCCTTCTTGGTAAAGTCCAGCCAGCTAAAGATGAATCAAAATAAAGAACTCAGAAATGGAGAAGCTGTAACAGAGAAGTGACAATAAACTTAGAATCCACCAAAACAGAGAAGTGAGAATAAACAAGTAATTTTAATTACAGAAGAGAATGTATGTGTTATAATCTTTGATAATGTTAATACGAAAATGCAAAAATCTTAAAGTAGGGAATGGGGAGGTAACAGGAAGAGTGGTAATATTAGTGCTCTTTTCTTTCAAGCAGATTAATACCTTTAAATCGAAACACAAGGTAAAATTAAAAAGATTGTAACCTTAATTTTTAATAATGTTTTATAATCTTAGAGAAATTATAACTGGAATGACAGTCTAATTTTAATGATAATTATTTCTAGGTAGGTTTTGGGTAATTTTTCTACACTTTTCTTTGCATTTTCTGTATTATTTGAATTATGTATTGTGACTGTATCATTTTTATAAAAACAGTAACATTATTCTTAAAAAAAAGGGAAGAAGGATAAAAGGATATTAGAAACAGAAATGAAATAAGACATTTCCAAAGCTGCTTCCAGTGCCATAATTACAAGAACTTGCTAAGAGTTCACAAGCCACACAGAGAATTGGGGAGTGGGGGGGCGGGAGTAACATTAAACTGAATAAAAAATTGAGCGTAGTCCAAAAGAATTATCAATTATTGCATTTGAAACATTCACATGTAACAAAAACAATGACTTTACCTTTAGCTAGTAAAAATGTGATCCAAGAAGCTTTTAGCACCAACAGTGAGTTTATTTCAGTAGATAGCCTGGTAAACAAACAGAAAGCAGAAAAAAATTTTACACTGACAGTCTTTAACTATTTTTTTCCTTTTACTTATTTATTTTGAGAGAGAGAGTACATGCACACACAAGGTGTAGGTAGAGAGAGGTAGAGAGAGGCAGAGAGGGAGGGAGAATACTAAGCAGGCTTCACCAACAGTGTGGAGCAATTGAGACACCCAGGCACCTCTTCCTTCTTTTTAAATTACAGGCCTAAGTTGATTGCGTAAGAGAATACAATCCATTTTAAATGTACAATTTACACATTAACTCAATTTGCTTCAATTCAGTGAGTGGTTTTACCAATACTTATATTTAGCCCATGTACAAAATGTACAAAATACATTTTGTAAAGGAAATATTTAATATTTCAATTCTAATCGAAAAATATGCATAAAAAGTGGTATACTATGATGTACTTGGTTTCCAATTACTTAATACTTTCCTGCCCTTTGCTTTCTAATTAAAATCAACATTTAAGCAGAGAGAGAGAGGTTTGGGTGACTCTACTAATTTAACACTATGCTTTGATAACTTGTTGGTATTAACAACTGGAATAGATTAATTAATAAACATATAATTTCCCTTTATATCAATCATCTTCAATACCACTAGTTCAGTGGGGCAGAATATCTCATATACCACTCATACCATTTCCAAAGAAAATCTCTAGAGCTCTTACATGGGTATACTGTTGGAGCATGTACCATATACATTTAAAAAGATAATTTGGAAATTTTAATATACACTTCACATTTACTCTTACAAAAACACTATGCTTTTAGTCTTACTAAAGTTAATAAAGTGCTTATAACAGACCCTCAAAAAAATTTTAGCCAGTGAATATGCATTTTCCCCTGAGCAGGTGATATGTTGCACTGAATGAACTTCCACCCTATTAGTTCACCTTGCAGTAAAGGACATGTATTTCGTACCACTGTCTTTGTGAGAAGGTAAGTAATCTGCACGGAGTATAAATCTATGACCTTAATTTATGAGGTAGCATGCTATAATCTATCAAACTAACTCTGACATTAACATGTTTGGGATTATTCCAGAAAAATCTTTAAAAAAAAAAAAAAAAAGAAAAAAAAAAGACAGGGGCAGCTGGGTGGCTCAATGGTGTCCAACTCTTGCTTTCAGCTCACGTCATGATGTCATGGTTTGTGAGTTCAACCCCTACATTGGGCTCTGTGTTGACAGTGTAGAGCCTGCTTGGGATTTTTCTCCTTCCCTCTCTCTATGCTCCTCCCCTACTCATGCTGTCCTCTCTCTCTCAAAATAAATAAAATCTTTTAAAAAATAAATAAAAATAAAAGAAGATAAAAATAACATGCCAGGAAATACTTACAAACTGCCAGGTTGTGTCAAATATATATGTTCACATGTCCTAAAAGGAAAAAATAATTATATTACCATTATGCCTTTTTTAAAAGTTACTTTTAAATTTTTTTCATAACTTAGAAATCAATTTTATCATGCTTTATTCATCTTATTTCCAGAAGTATACATCTTATTATTTTTCTTTTTATCCAGAAGTATACATTTTAAAGACAAAAAATTACAGCATTATTAAAAATGTTAAAGTAGGTTTTTCCAATACATGACATTTCCACACATCACTGTTAATATTTAACTACAAAAGGACCGGATTCCTCATGGGCATTTGTAACTCAGAATGTATTTTGCAATTAAATCTTGATCTAGTTAGAATCTCAGATCAGGTCGTAAAAGTTTATTTAACTATTAGTCTCACTAAAATAACTCAACAGTACTATAAACCATGTTTTTTTAGGACAATGGTGGAGTAAAAATTTCCACAGACCTGTTTCCCAGTGTAGTAACTATAATTGGTTGAAATTATTTTAAAAATCATTTAAAGTCTCTGGAAATTCTCCTGAGGGAATACATCAAAAAAGGAAACATTTGTTCATGAAAATCTAGTAACTCTTGGTAAGAACAAAAATAGACTGGAATTCTTAGCAAAACTCACTTCCTCCTCCTCTTTAGCTCAGCATCATAAAGCTCTACCCTGGGCAGGTGCAGCCAAGACACAGGACTCCCTCTCTCTGCAGTTCCCAGCCCAGAACTATCACTCTGGGAAAGGAAGGTGGCCAGAATTTCTAATCACCCCCAGCTTTGTATGCAGAAAGTCTATCCCAGGCAAGAGTAACTGGGAGGTCTAGGGCTCCCTTCCTCCACTTAGCTCCCATTCAAAGGGTGAAAGTTCTATTCCAGGCACAGCTGATCAAGAATACTGGGGCCTTGACTTCTTTTACCCCACTTAGTTCACAGTACAGAGGTTCCAGATATGAAAAGCAATCTGAGAAGATTAGGGGCTACCATGTTTTCTCAGTGCCCTACTCTTAAAGTGGAAAGGACATTCTAAGAGAAGAGGTGCACATTTCCCATTCTGACCTCATAGCAGTGGCAAAGTGATGCCCAGGAAAGAGGCAAGTCTTCAGAAAAAAGAGGTCTGAAGCTCTCTCCAAAGGAATTAACTTCATTTGGAACACAGTGTGGGAACTTTCAAGGCTAGGTGCCATTGAAAACAATGGAAATTTTGGTGGTGAGCATGTAAGAGGAGGCTAGCAATTGTATGAAAGCAACAAGCTGAATCCTAGACCACTTAGGAGAGAACCAGGGGAAGAAGGAGCTAAGAAGAGCCCAAAAAGAACAAGCCTCAAGGCTGACCTCAAAGACTATTTCCGAAAAGGGAGCCAATTTAATGAGATCAGACTGTGAAACAATTTGAGGCCCAGACATTGTCAAAAACAGCAAAATAATCATTCACCAATTAATGGAAGGTATATCAACAAAGTGGTTAACAAAAGAGATCGGGGGAAAAAGACTGTCAAAGAGAATGTCTTGAAAATGAGTCACCTCAGAGTGACTGTGCACATGTCCAATGGCTACACTGAAGAGCATTATCAAAGGCTGCACACTGTGGGACTAACATACTTCACTGAAATAACACAGCTAGGCCACCAAACAAATGCAGAATGACAACAGAAAGCCCCACAACATAGGAGAATCAGTACCTAGACTTACTAGGGTGTTATCAAAATGTTCAGTTTTCAAGAATAAATGAAAATATGCAAAGAAATAGTAAAGTATGAACTCTATATGAGAAAAAAGCATGCAATAGAAATTGCATTAAAGAGAGCCCAGATGTCAGACTTAACAAAGACTTCAAAGGAGCTGTTATAAATATATCCCCCCCCAAAAAATAAGTAAATAAATATATCCAGATAACTAAAAGAAATCATGCTTAAGGAACAAAGAAAGGTATTCTGATATTGTCTCATCCAATAGAGAATATCAATAAAGAGATATTATTTTAAAAGAACCAAATGGAAATTTGAGTTGAAGAGTACAACAACCAAAATGAAAAATTCACTAGATAGGCTCAACAGATCTGACCTGGCATAAGAAAGAAACACTAAACTTGAAGACAGACCAAAAGAGATTATGGTGTGTGAAGAACAAAGAGGGGGGGGGGGAAAGAAGAAAAATGAAGAGGTTCACAGAAATGTGGGACACCAAAAAACACACCAATACATTTGTAATGGGAGTACCAGAAGTGGGTGGAGAGAGAGGAGCAGAAAAAAAAAATTTAAAGAAATAGCTGAAAACTTCCTGAATCTGATGAAAAAAACATTAATTTACATACCCAAAACACATAAACTCCAAGAAGGATGAATGTAAAGGAATCCATACCCAGATATATGACAGTAAAGTGTTAAAAGACAAAGAGAAAAACAGGAAAGAGATGATACAGCATGTAGAAAGGAACCCAATAACATTAACAGCTGACTTCTCATGATACAATGAAGATCAGAAGGCAGTAAGATTACATATTCAAAGTGCTGAAAGAAAAAAAATGTTAACCAATAATCATATCCAGCAAAACTGTGAAGAGTGAAAATAATAAAAGAGACATTACCAAATAATAAAAGAGAATTTGTTGATAGCAGACTCATTAGAAATACTAAATACTAAATATTTCTCACAAGAAATACTAAAAGAAGTTCTTCAGGCTGAAAATAAGTAACACTAATTCATATCCACATGAAAAAACAAAGAGCACTGGAAAAGGTGAAATTATTGTGCTATAAAAGATGGTAATAACTGCGTATTTCTTCTCATAACTGATGTGAAAGCAACTGTATAACACGGTATGTACATAACTGTATTTTGGGGGCTATAACATATAGAAATGTAATCTATTTGCACAAAAGAGGTGGGTGGGATCAAAGCTGTGTTAGAGTAAACAAGTGACACTAGATGCTAAACTGAATCCATAGGAACAAATGAGGAGAACAAGAAATGGCTTAATTAGACAATTAATGTAACAAACTCTATAAATACACACTTGCTTTTCTCCATACTCTCAACTACTTTAAAAGACATACAACACAAATGTCTGTAAGCTGATAAATAAAATGTGATAAAACCATACACTGGAATATAGCTCCATAATAAATAGTAACAAAGTAGTGAAACATGCTACAACATGGATAATCCATGAAAACATGCTAAGTGAAAGAAGCCAGTCACCAAAAATATGTAAATAAAAAAATGTATATAGACAAAATTACTACCTTATAATAAAAAGTAGTTTATAATTACAAAAAGGACTTTTTGTAATTATAGAAAAGATGTTTAATGTCCAAAGCATTGTTTTAAACTGTAACTTAATGTAACTCAAACTAAAATGCTCTCATACAGTAAAAGATAACTGCATTCAATATATGTCTGTGCTAATATGGTAGCCACAAGCACTTACAGCAAGCTACCGAACACCTGCAATGTGGCTAGTACAAATGAAGTTGTGCTGTAAATGTGAATTATACACCAAAGTATTAAAAAATACTTAGTATGAGAAAAAGAATGTGAAATATTTCATTAATAACTTTTATATTAGTTTTATGTTTTATTAAAATATAACTCATAGCATAAAGTTTATAATTCTAAAGTATATAAATTCAGTAATTTTAGTGTATTCACTTCGTTTTACAACCATCACTACTATCTAATTCCAGAATATTTCTATCGTCCCCCCAACCCCCCAAACAAACCCCCTATCTATTAGCAATACTCCTTGGCAATCACTAATTTACATTCTGTTTCTATGGATGTGCCCATTTGGACACTTCATATAATGGAATATATGCTCTTTTGTGTCTGGCTTCTTTCACTTAATGTTTTCAAGGTTCATCCATGTTGTAGTATCTAAAAGCACTTTATTCCCTTTAATAGCTGAACAATAAAATAATCTACCTTTGGTTATTATGAATAATGTTGCTATGAACATTTAGGCAAAAATTTTTGTGTGAATTATACATGTTGAAATGAGATATTTTGAAATATGTAAGTTAAATGAAATGTTAAAATTAATTTCACTTGTTTCTTTTTATTTTTGTCACATAGCTACTAGAGTATTTAAAATTCATGGCTTACATTATTATATTTCTCTATAATAGCATTAACAAAGCTAATATTAACTTTAAAAGCTACCATTTATTATGCACTTAATATGTGCTGGCAAGTGAGCTAACTGGTAACATTGTCTTATTTAATTCTCACAATTACCCTGTAAGGAAAATATTACTGGCTATATTTTAGACCGAAATTGATGTTTAGAGAAGTTAAGGAACTTTTCCTAACTCACACACTCAGTTAATGACTAAATTAATATTCATACTTAGATCTTTTTCATCATATATATTGCCATATATATATGCACACATACAGTCTGCTCTGAAATGAACAGGCTTTGATACCACAGTTAATTTTCCTAATTGCTCTTCAGAAAAAAGTACAAATAAGATAGGAAAAAAACCTGACAGTCCACTTATATAACTAGTTAACAAAAAAGGCCCAAGTGATCTGTTAAGGCCAGATCTGACTGTCATTCCAGATCAAAATCATTCAATGACTCCATCCCCTGCAAGGCAAAGTCCAAGCTCACTATCAGTCTGAACCCTTCCTACCTTTCAGCCATCAGCAAAACAAAGTACATAATGCTACTGCTTTGCCTTTGTACACATGCTAATCACTCTGCCTGGGAAGTTCAGTCACAGTTCCTACACATTTTGCTTGGTGAATTTATCCTTAAGCCTTTTCAGATATTGCATTTTATAGTTTTTACTTGATCAAAAGTACCCTGCAATTACCCTTCTCACCCTTGAACATACACGACATTTTGCCCACTATATAATTTCTACTTCTCATATATAATCTTCTAAAAGAGAGCATCACATACATTACTGCACTTATTTTTATTAAAGAATATAATTTATTTACTATAAGCTTCTTGATGATCATAGTGTGATAGATTTTATATCCCCAGCACCTAACATATAACTGAGTACTAACGGACACTTAGTTAATGCTTGTTGTAGTTTCTTAATTTATTTGCAATAAAATAAGCTGATAGCTAGCCTAAAGATTCTTAAAGTATATTCTACAAAACACTATTTCCAGGTTTTAATTGATGTTAAATGCATATAAACAAATATTAGTAGTCTAATAAATTTAGGAAATGATGAACTCAACAGATTCCACATATTTTATTATATAGGACTTTTAAGAATCCTGAGTTGCCATGGGGCGCCTGGGTGGCGCAGTCGGTTAAGCGTCCGACTTCAGCCAGGTCACGATCTCGCGGTCCGTGAGTTCGAGCCCCGCGTCAGGCTCTGGGCTGATGGCTCGGAGCCTGGAGCCTGTTTCCGATTCTGTGTCTCCCTCTCTCTCTGCCCCTCCCCC